GTATGAAATTAGATATATCATACATAATATGATATATGGAAAAATCTTTGCACTTTATGATACCTTACCTAAATAAAGAAGGCGTAAGGCAGAGAGCTTTGGCGGCAGGTCCAATGGAAGAAAAGCGCAGAAAAGCCAGAACCCTTGTAAAGCGGTTCAGCTCCGCCGGCGACGCCGCGGCTCTCGCCTCGGCCATATCTGAGATCCGCCTCATCTCCAAACTCGACGAAGAGATCCGCCTCCCTCTCGCCGACGCTGGAGCCATCCCACTCCTCGCAGGCCACCTCGTCGCCGTCCCACCAATTGCTTCCCCTTCCTCCCAAGAAAACGCTTCCGCCTCTCTCCTAAATCTCTCTATCTCCGCGCGCGAGCCCCTCATGTCGACCCCGGGCATCCTCGACGCCCTCGCCTATTCGCTCCGCTCTTCCGCGCCCGCCGCCGTGGCGCAGAACTCCGCCGCCACTGTATTCAGCCTCCTTTCCGTCGATACCTACCGTCCGATCATCGGATCCAAGAAAGCCCTAATCTCGGCTCTGATTTCCCTCATCCGCGCTCCGAATCAAGCGGCGCGAACGGTGAAGGACGCGCTCAAGGCTCTGTTCGGCGTGGCTCTGTATGCGATGAATCGGGCTAAGATGGTGGAATTGGGGGCGGTGCCGGCGCTGTTCTCGCTAGTATTGCAGGAGGAGAGGTCGGGAGTGTTGGAGGATGCGACGGCAGTGATTGCGCAGGTGGCGGGGTGTTATGAGAGCTTGGAGGCGTTTCGAAAGGTGGCGGGATTTAGGGCTTTGGTGGATTTGATGGATAAGGCGACGGGGGCGAAGGGTAGGGTGAGGGAGAACGCGGCGGCGGCCTTGCTTAATCTGGCGATGAGCGGAGGTGAGGCGGCTGTTGGAGAAATCAGGGAGGTGGAGGACGCGGAGGAGGTGGTGAGGGAGCTCGCCGAAGCGGGGATTAGTGCCAGAGCGAAGACTAAGGCGGAGGCGTTGCTTAAAGTTTTGGGAAGCGAGCGGAGGTGCCGGCGAGGAGAGCACTGGATCGGGGATTTGGACTCCGAGTCGGAATACTCCTCGGTGCCATCGCCGCGGCTATGGTACTCTTCCGGTGATTCTAGTAGCTATTAGGGCCTTAACCTTTCAAATTTTATTCTTTTATTATTATTATTATTATTATTCTGTGAATTAATGAAATATAGATTATTTGCATTCTTTTGAAGGCGAGTAACGTCACAGTTCCAAAGAAAAAAAAAAATGGCAAATGCAACTGAAATTTGTAAAATAATATTTGCAGCCTGGTCGTCTTAAACTAATAAATATTTGCAAAGGGGAAAACGATGATTTTGTTTTTTTTATTGTATTTTCTTTCATTTTGTTTCATCTATGCTGTGACTTGAAATTCTTCACACGCTCGCTGTATAAAAATTTTATGAAATTACATTTCATTAATAGATGGCTCTATTAATTTTTGGGTATTTACATATATACCATTTTAACATCTAAAATTTTAATAAAAAATATCTCACTTTTATATTTTATTCCTATAATTCATACTATTTTGGGTGATAAATATAAATATTAAGTTTTAGGGATTAGATATATAAATAATATGATATAAATACTATATAGGTCAATTCCCTATAATTTTCTTATGCATTCTTCTTTCATGGATGTATCACATGGTTCATTACAATTCTGTGCATATAATAATACTGAAACTTTACCATCATAATTTGATGCCACTATGCGAGCTACTGCGTTATTGCAATAAATTTTCATGGGGCCGGTTTTTATGGGAAAAATTGTTGGATGTCTTGTCAAAATTAAGATAAGTTTAAAAATTTTATTAAATGTGATATAAATGATCTAATTTTAATTAAAATTATTATGTGTTTTGAAAATTTAATGGCAAGAGAAATAGCTTAATATCTTAATTTTATATAAAGATATAACATGTACATAAATAAAATAAGATTGTTAGAGATGCTGTTGTTTTTATGCAAAAAAAATCATTAAATTTGTCTAAGTTGAAATATTTTCACTAACCTATATCATATCTTATGCATTAATCTATAGAAGCCTTTGGTTTTTGGAGTTATTTATCTTTAAGAGATCATTTGTATTCTATTCACTTGCAATTGACATAAATTATATAGGATGAATTTTGTGATTAGAGTTATAAGTCTTCAAGAGATCATTTATCTTAAGGTATTAAACCATCTCCAACCGAAAATCTCATTTTTCACTTCAAAATGGCCTGAAACAAAAAAATGTTGTGATTCATTCAATCGAACTCCAAATTTGCGAAGATAACCTTCTTTCTTCTTTTTGCGTGTTTCTTTGGCAAGTTAGGTAGAGATAAAAATATAGCGGGGATGAACAGTGCCACGCCAATATTGGCGTCGCACTGTTCACTCGTAAGCAAATAGCGGAATTTTTACTGTTCCGCTGGAGCTCTGCAGCAACGCCATTCAAGCATTTGGAGTTTGGTTGGAGATGCCCTTAGAGCATTGTCCGTTGCATCAAGGAGAGGAGACTAGAGCTCAAGAAGTCCAATATAATTTTTGGTATTCATATTGGGAATTAGAGATGGTGCCAACGATGTGTATCGACCTTATTGAACGTGCATCATTTGACTAAGTTTATGAATATTAACCAATGTTTTAAAAATCATAATGGATTGACCGATTCAAGCAATTGAACAGGGAATAATTTGTCTATCGATCCAATAAATTCTTAGAATTATTTTCACAACAAACTATCTGAATCGCATCGAGCTGGTGGTTCAATCGGGTAATCGGCGAACCAGTGCTGACTTTCAAAAAACAGGTCGGTTTATTTTATTAAATTATTTATATAATTAAATAAACTAATTTAATAAATTTAATATAAAATATTTAACTTAATGACTTAATTTAAATTAAATCTATTTTAATTCTTATATAAGTATTTAATTTTTTTAATAATTATTTGTCAAATATGTACCAACCAGACTTTATCAAATGGCCCTACTTAATTATTAAATATTTTTTGTATAAATTTATCAGACTTTAATATTATATATATACATATATATAAAATAAATTAATAATAATTTTTATTAAATGTATAAATTTATATACAACTAAATTTTTTAGTAATTTTGAATTAAGTTTAAAGATTAAATATATTTAAATTTAAAATTGTAGAATACAATATTTGTGTATGAATTTAAATTATTTTTTAGTCATAAATATATATTATTATATATTTTTTTATATCATTATTATGTCATTTTAGTGTTATTTAAATAATTTCATTAATACTTATTACATCATCACGTTCCACTCTGGTCGAATCATTAAACATATAACCTCTCGTTATTTTAGTTATTTATCTGGTCTAACATTCACAACCTTAGTATCAACATTTGTGTTGATGCCTTGCATCGACTTTATAAGCGATGGCCTCTGTCAAAAATAGTGACGATGACGGGCAATGTAGTCCATGAGCTTCATCATTGGTGGCAACAACATATATCAACCTCTAAGGTCGAGGTGTGTGTTGATGTTGTTGGTGGTAACGAGCATCATCATTGTGTTGACATCATGTGAAATTGTACATCGATATTGATGGTGATAGTGAACAATGAAGTAAGCAAGCATTGATACTTGAGCCGATCATGTGCATCTACTAGGTGATGGTGTTCATTATGTTATTAGCAAGGGTGGGTGAAGAAATCAACAAGCGTCGGTATTTTTGTTGATGCATACATAAACCCTAAAGGCAATGTATGCATCGATGTTGTTAGTAACAAAGTTGGCGAGATACGATATATATTTGAACAATAATGGCCAGGAAATCATAGTTGGTTGATAGATATTGAACGATAGTGATTGGGCAGTGGTAATCGAGTGATAGTGGTTGAAAGATAATAGTCTAAAGATAATTGTTGTATGATGGTGTTTGGTGATGAAAGTTAAGATAGGACAGTCAGTTTATAAAGGTGAAACAATTTTGGTCGGACGACGAATGGGCGATAATGATTATTGGAGTTAATTAAAATAAAAATACACTAAATAAATAATTTTTAAAATATATATGCATAAAAAACAAAATATAAAGTCATAAGCCAAAAGCAAATAATAAAATTTTACTAGAGAGAACCAGCTTCCTTTTAATTTTACTAGTGGGAAAAGAGGTCAAGGATTAGTCAGAAATGCCTTCAACATAAAACTTGGCCGTTTCCTCCTTTGACTCCGAATTTGCTTTCAGGGAAATGGTCGTCATCTTGTTGATCTAAAGTCAAAATAAAATAAAATAAAATAAAAACATCAACTTCAGACTATCAAAATTGTTGCACGCAAATAAGAGTATTGACCAAGCCTTGGTTTGTTTAGTTGGACTTCGTATCTGTTTTGTTGGTAGAAGGCAACTAAAAAGCTTGTGCTCTTCATTTGAGACAACTAATTTGTTAGAAAAAAAATTTGAATCAGAATTTTGTTCATACAAAGATCCATTTGGCGCCAATTAGGATTTACTTTCACCAAATTGATGCAATGGAATCAAATTGAACTCAAATCGATGCAAACTGATTCATATCAAGTTCGATTTGAGCTCATTTCAGTCCAATTGATTAAATTAAATCTCATCAATTTCATCAAATTGGCTCGATCAGACTGAATCAACCCAAATTGATCTAAATCGAGTCGAATTTGGGCTCAATTTCAACCTAATTGACTCAATTCAAGTTTAATTAAACTCCAATTGACTTACCGATTAGTTTAAATCATTTCTCAAATTTGTATTTTTATTATCGAAAAATGATTATAAATTTGTTTTGGAAAAAATTTCACCCACTTCAAATCATCTTTTACGACGACCACGCCCCCAAAACTTTCCTCGAGAGGCATTGGAAGAACGAACAAGGGAAAAATCATTATCCGACTCAGAAAATTCAGAATAAACCTCCTCCTCCGACGAATCAATCAACCAACAGTTCTGATCCTTAATTTCTTTACCCGAAGACTTCCCCACCCAATCAACCATCACAAGTGTACCAACCTCTTTAACAGGAATCTCAACTACACTGTTAACATGCTAAAACCCTTCCTCTAAACTCAGCGACGGGCACACAGCCTCAATCCCACTCGGATCCACACCAGCAAGCATGTCTTCCCCAGCACCACCTTCCGCATTCTCTATCACCTTATCGTCCCCAATAGTATTCATATCATGAATAGGCAAACAATCAGAAGTCTCAACATTCACATTAGCATAATTAACTTCCGGCACCAAAGCAATTGCCGAAGACTCCAAATTCACACCCTGCCTAACGCCCCCATCCAGCAACACGGGAACGAAAGGTATAGCATTAGGAGATAAAAAGGATTTATCAACGACCAGCGGCACACCGTTACAGTTATTCACATCCAAAGAAACAACCAACTTATCCTGTGACAAGCCAACATCGTTAGCACAAACCACAGGTTCAACATATGGCAAAGTCATCCCCACAGAATTTACTTCAGGAACAATAACCGCAACTTCATTTACACCCTTAATGTCATTCACACCACCTAAAGGAGCAATAATTTCCACAGGAACATCCACAACAGAAGGAAGAACAGGAACAGTACCCGAAATACACTTACCAGAAATATGCCCTAATTTTTTACAAATACCACAAAAATGAGGAAAATCGTCAAAGACTACCTCTTGAGCATACCCTAACGAATCAGATCCTAACCACACTTGCTTAGGATAATTTTTAGTAATATCGATTTCAACTAAAACACGGGCATTCGAAGGACGAGATCCAACCGACGTAGCTTCGTCGATTTTCAGAGGTTTGCCAAATAACTCACCCAGCCCAAAAAGGATCCTCGGAGCAAAGAAATGTGGACGGAGGTGAGCAAAAGAGATCCATATCGGTATGATCGGCGACTCGACACCGATATCCAAAGTCGGCGACCATTTCGTAAGTTTCATGTAACAATTGAAAACCAAATAAGAACGGTGACAAAAAATTCTACAGTAATCTAAATCATTCTCCAATTTTATCAAAATATGGGTAGAAACAAGAACAGTAACTGATACCTCACCATTCAACTTTAGGTTAAAAAAAAATTTCGAATCGCATCAAGAGGAGGACGTTTAGCCGGGAAGAAACCAACCAAAGAAAACCTAAATGGTTCCGCTAAAGCCCTAATTTCTTCATCAGAAACCCACAAAGCAGGAAGACCACGGAAGGTAGACTGCTTCAAATCAGGAAAGGAAGAAGTAGAACCAACAAGAGCTTGAAGAAAAGACTTAGAATGAGAAACCCCCCCAAAAAAATTAGGATCTCTCAAAAT